TGAAGGATAAGCTTTATGAATCTGGAGTGAGGGCATTTTAAGCATCCGTTAGGTCATGAATGCCAACAGTTACGTGTTTGCCCAGAGCCTGATAAAATTGGTGAAACAGCTTGTGAACAAACAGGTAGCCAGGAGGCTAAGCTGGTATATGGCAATGACACATGCTATCAGTAATGCATTTCTTCACTTTAGGAACTTCAGTGAAGGAATATAACTGCCTTTGTGACCTATAATGAGATCATTGTATCTGATCAGCAGAAGAACTTATTGAAATGGTTGGAGCAACTAGCAATAAGGAACTTCCTCAGGGATTTCAAAGGCAGATAGTCTTATTTTGTGTTGCTTGAGGTGGAAATAATTAACTTGCTGCAGCCATCAGCTCTTTTAAGTGTTCACAAAACCGTTACATCATGGCTCGACAAAAAATTTTGTACACTGATTATTTTTTGTGGCAGGGTGTGAAAACATTTCCTAAGGCCCATATACCTTTAATGGGTTGCCCTTTATGTTACACTAAACTGAAAGAGCATGTGTGCGTGTGAGAAGCATATCCAGCTCTCACATCCACAAATACAGGCTTCGTTAGCTCCTGTGACTTCCAACAGGATTACTGGCATCCCAGATTAATACCCAGCACAACTGTGAGTCTGGCTTGATGTTGGCACTTATTAATATGCACATGATACTTGCTTTAATTCTTTTTTATAACAGAAAATATAGAGTGGCCCATTCATTTCTTAGCCAAGTATGTCCATATGTCTGGTGTCTTTCAGGAAAAATATTCTAAGGTCCGCTTTAGTTATATAATGAAAATTTACAGATTACAGGTTTTTAAAACTGAATGTTGTATGTACTAGAAGGTATGTGCAGAAATAGATATATAGTGTCTTTTTTTCTTTGTTCTTACTTTTAGTCTTTTGAAAGAGTTTTAGTAGAGAACAAGCTGCATGGCCTTTCTCCAGCTCTCTCTGAAGCCATCCAGAGCATTTCTCGCTGGGAACTTGTCCAAGCTGCGCTCCCACATGTGCTGCACTGCACTGCAACATTGCTCTCCAACCGCAACAAGCTAGGTTAGTGCTTATATGAATTTGTTTTTTCCATTACTGACATTATCAGTCAAAATATGGCAGATTGGTGCTCAGGGTGCCAACATACTCTAGGTCCTAGAATCCCAGTTAGTTCATTCTGTGGATCGCCTTTCTTGATCTGTTCTCATTTATATAAGGGTAACCTGTGAGAGCTTTTCCAGTGAAGTTAATGGTCTGGTGAGCTGAAGAGTTAAAGTAGTTCAATATTTTGCTAGTTATTTTCCAGAGAATTTAATAGAACTAGCTTTAGTAAAAGTCTTACCACCCATCAGGCATGAGTTCCTCAAAGGAATACATATTTCTTCCAAGGCACAGTGCAGTGCCCAATTGCAGCAGGTATTGTTAATATCTTCAGTTCTGGTGGTTTTTCTCCCTTCTTCTTTTTATTCAGACTAATGTGTTTGATTCTCAGCAGAGGAGTCAGATAATAAGGATAGAACCAGGTCCAAATCTAACTTACTTTACTAGTCTTTTAGTGATTTCAGCAGTGGTTTCATTGCTTCATGAGACATGCCATTCAATAGAGTCAAACAGACAAGACTGTCAGGCTTTTAGGAGCACTCTATGTCCATGTTTTCAGTTGCCTTGCAACCGACATTTCAAGGACTGAACTGGAAATGCTGTGAAGTAAATGGAGACTTGTGAATTAGGAGGTTTCAAACATAATGAAACAGAATGCTGATACTTTTTAATGCTAGAATTTTAATTTTCAAATGCTTATCAGGACATTGGATGCCCACTTTCCTGTGTGGCTCTGAAAGTCTCAACAGTACCATTAATGGAAACCCTGTGAGATACTGTCATGCATTTTTTCCATCCAGGACATCAGGATAAGCTTGGAGTAGCTGAAACAAAACTTCTTCACACTCTTCACTGGATGCTGCTGGAGGCCCCTCAGGACTGCAGCAATGACCGATTTGGAGGAGACAGAGGCTCTAGTTGGGGAGGGAGCAGTAGCGCCTTTATCCACCAGGCTGAAAACCAGGGATCACCAGGACATTCCCGGCCCAGCACCACAAATGACGAGGAGGAGAGTAACAGAAGGAAGTTCTTCCAGAACTCCATGGCCACAGTGGAGCTCTTTGTGTTCCTTTTTGCTCCTCTTGTCCACAGGATTAAAGTAAGTGGAATACTGGTGGGATACTTGTGTGGAGACACCTCTGAGCAGGAAAAGAATGATTCTGCCTTTGTGATTGTTAATTAATTCAGCCTACAGTGCACACTGGGTGACCACTGGAAATGTTTTAACAAGCTGGCAGAATTCCACTGCCATCAGGAAGAAATATTTCCAGTGACATGAACAATCACCACAGTATCAGGCAGACACAAAGGGAAATAAATCTGAAGTGAGCCATTTTCAGCTCTCAGGAATGTCAAAGATCTGTGGCTCTTGTGAAGTCTTTGGGACCCTGGAACCTGCGGAAAGGATTGTGAGCTTTGGCTTGCTCCAGTGATTCTCAACCATTGCTCAGAAGGGCCTTGCAAGCTTTTCAGGGATTCCACCATGGGGCTGCTACTGGGATTTGTTGTTGTCACTACTAATCATCTTGATGCTAATTACCAGGAATGTGCGATAGTGGTATAAGCATGGCAGTAGCAAAGGCAATTGAGCATTCCTTTGTTCTGAAGTTGGAAGCAGGCTGCAGGCTTCCTGTCTGCTGGCATCCCTCTGTTAGTTTTATGCTGAGTGCATCAGCTTTGCAGAGTGGTGTGATGAGGAGACGTTTTCTGTATGCTCTGACTCCTGCCTCTTGTCTTTAGTCTCTCTGGAGGGCTGCTGTTTAGCCTTTACCTTTCCAGCTAGGCCTTGGAAGAGAAGCTGGCTCTGGAGAGTAGGTGCTTGGAAAAGGTCTATAAAGTCATGAAGTGATGCAGGCTGTTATCTGTGCTAATCCAGCCTTGTATGCTGCAACGGTTGAAGAAGATAAGAAAGTACAGGAAATAAAGGATAATCTTTTTGTTAGGGCAGGTGAAAGCAGGTCTGGAGAGCTAGAATCTTTCCCTGCTTCTGCTGCCGAGTTCCTGTACAGTATTGCTCAATTTATTTAGCCCAAATTTTTCACACTTGTTTACTAGTTCCACATTTTGTCTGTAAGCTTCTGGAACATGACAGGAAGAAATGCTGAATTTTTCCCAGTGCTACACACACTAATGTGGCCTGCCCTTTGAATAAATGAAATGAAACCAGAGGTAGACCCTGGCTATTAGAGATTAGGTTTCCAATTTTTTTATATTAATCTTTCTGGGATGTAGTTTCCCATTTACAACATGGGGTTAATAACAATATCTCAGGTTTACCATGAAAATCTCTGACGTCTCTGAGATACTGTAGTGATGAACATTGAAAAGCCCGTGAAAACATGCATGTTTTTGTCATCAAAGCAAAGCTCAAAAAAACTGAGGTAAATGAGGTATGTGACTGGCTCACTAAGTTAGCATTGTCCCCTCTGTGTTTCACAGAGGTAGAGGTCTCAGGGGAGGAATACTATCTGACCAGATAACCAAGGTAATGCATGTGCTCAAGGAAGGTGATGCATGTTTGCACAGGTAGACCTAAATGATGGAATTCCTAACTTCTGAGAGGATTTGTGTATTTAGCAATGTGTTTTTAAATGAGACTTTTGGGGGCTGAGAGGCATGCATGTGATCCTGTAACTTAACAACTGTAGATAAAAGCGTTGCCATGTCACCAAAAGCTAGCAGTGCAAAGTGAAAATGCAACATGTGTTACTGCTACCACTTCCAAAAGTCTTTCAAGGTGCCCCTTAGTAAAAATACTAATTAAAAGCAAGCTTAGTTTATAACAAGGCTTGGGAGCTCATTATGATGAGATAGATAGCACTAATGAACAGTAGGGAATAGAAGGGCTGGACAGCTACAAGCAGCAGCTCCTGCCATTCCTTTAGCTCTGTCTGCATCATCGATTTCAACTGCTGAGGCATGTGGCGCTATGTCAACAGGAGATGGTGGAGCAGCTATAATTATGCTGCTAGAACTGCTATTACCATGTTTGTTTGCCTTATGGGGATAGCTGGACTATACCAACATCAGTGTCTCCTAATGTAAATATGACCTCAGGTCAAGTAAGTGCATACCTGCACCTTGATCCTGCTAAGATTTACTTGTGTACTAATTTACATTATTTCAGCTACTTGCATATGTAAAACAACGATGGCACAAGTGTAAGTAGCACTAATGTCTCTGTATTGACGTAGCTCAGGTACTAATGATGCTAGTAACAACATTATTGTATACTGCTATTTCATAGTAATTTGTTACATTTCACGTTTCCTCAATTTCTAAGTAATATTTTAATATTTAGTATTCTTATTCTTTTGGGGCAAGAAGTTCAAATCTTGGAGTATAAATCCTAAGGCTGAGTTTGAATACTAAATATGAAGTGGTTATATATGGTCAGAAGGGGATGCTTTCTGACACAGGAATGACCTTTTCGTGTACAGCTTAATGTCCTGGGAAAAACAGGGTTCATTAACTACTATAGAAATTTCATTTGGAAAAAAGCATCTTGTATATTTTTGTATTGAGATTTCCCTATTATTTTTTATAGCTGTATTGGAAATGTGTTGATGTCTGCTGAGTAGTGTCAGTGGCCCTTGAGTAGGCATATATTGACCACAGAACTGCACATGGTATCACTCATTTCTTGTAAGATCTGTGTATCAGAGAAATGATAATCCTAGACTGGAAACAACATTTTTTTGTGTGAGCTTGTGTGATACCACCTCTGTTTGTCTTTCTAGGAGTCTGACCTGACATTTCGGTTGGCTAGTGGCCTTGTTATTTGGCAGCCTATGTGGGAACATAGGCAGCCCGAAGTTTCTGCCTTCAACGCCCTTGTAAAACCAATTAGGAACATCGTTACAGGTCTGTGACTTTGCTGTGGTAATGTAGCTCCTGAGAGCTGGGAAACCTTTCCTTTCTTTGCCTGATGCTTCCTTATGTAGCCATCATATCTGAACGAATATGTTAATCCTGCAGGAATTAACCTTTGAGAGTAGTTTAAGGTTATTTCCCCTCAGAGTCAACCAACATTTGCATAATAATTAAATAGGCGATGAGAGAGAAATCACAAACAGGAAATGAGAAACTCTTCAGCAGAGTTATCATTTCCTGTCAGCCTCATATCTCTGTTTCACCGTATCTTCCTTAGTTGCTAAGAGGGGCAAAGGCAGTATCTAGCAGCAGCCTGACAGAGGTGGAGAAGACTTTCTCAGACTGGCACTGAACAACAATTAACAGTGAAGAGCACACAGTTGGCAGCGTAGGTTCTCCTTCTATCTAAAATTTGATTTTTACCATGTTATGAAATTAAACAAAGTAGTTTCAAGAGGCTCCAAAGAAGGCTTGGGTTGTGAATTCACTTTTGCATACTGGAAGGTGTTGCTCCTCCTTTGTACTTCATCCATAATGATGCTTCCAAGCCTTGGTGTCTGGCCTAGTTCTAAAAGAACTTTTTTACTTTTATGTTTTTAGACAATAGTTTTGCATAAATCCTACAAGGTAGTGAATTGGAAGTGTGCTGGGTATATTACTGTGGCATTGTTTGCTCATTCTCAAAAGCACAGAACTGTAATTTTCACAGTAGTGAAAATGTAGTTCACGAAATCAGATTTTTCTGGTTACAAGTCATTTTGAATGTCGTATTCTGTTCCGAAGGCTCTGTAGGTCTCTGAATTCGAAATATTCAAGTCTTTCAAATTATTTAAAACTATTTTTGACATCTAGCTCTTCTTCCCTCTGCTTCAACTTCTGGAATCAAAAAAAGGATTTCAGCCCTGGAATGAAAAAATGGAATTAGTCCTAAGTTTTCTTTGACTGTTGTAATTTTTTCCATAGATCTGGAGTGTGATCAGAAAATCCCCAAAATTAAACCTGTCCTTTTTTCTTTTTCTTTTTATGGCTGTGGCTAATGCCTCAGAAGTCTGCAGCAGAGAGACGCTGCTTTGGGTTTGGTTTTGTTTTCTGGTTTATCCTTTCAGTGGTACATTTTAATATTAGAAGTGATTCCTGAAATGTCCTCCTTTGACTTCTTTTCTCAGCTAAGAGAAGTTCTCCCACCAACAATCAGAGCGTGACTTGTGAATCCCCTAATCTGGACAGTGGACATACCGAGGTAAGTCCTATGCTAAGGTTAGACAAGCTTGAATAAGGAGCTGAGGGAGGGGAGAAATTAGTATTGAAACAGCACTTGCAGTTACCACCCCAAAGTATTACATCTCCAGAAATTACAGTCCTTCACAGTTCTTCCTAAGGCTCGCAACCTTGTTTGCAGTGGAACCAAAGGGTATTGAGTATAGTGGTCAGGATCTCCTTGGCCTTATCCTGTCTTATAGGATGGAAGCCTGATCTTAGATATTTTCTTGGGCAAGAGCCCTGTCTTACCCTTTGCCTGTACAATACCTAGTACTGAGAAGCCACAGGCTTGATCAGTTTCTCCATGGTATTGCCATGGTATTATGGTGTAAGTAACAGTCATGTCTAAGCACAAATTGCAGTAAGAAAACTATTATGAGAGAGATAAATATATTTATATACCTATTTCCTTTTGTTAAAACTATCCAAAGGGACTACAGGTGGTCTGTGAGACAACCCAGCCAGATTCTGTACCTCCAAAGGCCACTGTTTCAGCATGTCATCGTGGAAATTCCTTGGATGGAAGTGTATCCTCCCAAACCTCTCAGGAGAGAGGTACTGCACATCCCAGGTACAAACCCCTTCAGCAGAAAGTTAGGCTGGTGTGACTCAATGGTGCAGGCCACGGAAGTCCTTTATCTTGAATCTGCTTTTGTCCATAGACGCCAAGGGTGCTGGATGTTTATCTCAAACTCTTAATTCAACAAATCTCAGTCCTGGGTGATGAACAAAGTGGTGAAACTTGATTTTTCAATGCCATTTTCATTGGAGAAATCTCTAGCTGGCCTGTTAGGGGAGTTTCTTTGGTCTTTTCTAATATGTTGGTTTCTTATAATTAAAGACACTAACAAATAACCTGCAGGTTCAATCCTCCTTAGCTAGATTCAGCCTCAGGCAGCTGGTGTCTTTTCTGGCTTCCTTCTGATCAAATTTTCTTTGCCTTTAGCAAAGGATTTTTGCAAGCCTCCCTCCGCTGCCTTCATTATGCCTTCTCTGCTTTCTGCTGCTTAGCTTGCTTTAGACTACTGGCCCAAAGGAACAGACTACCAAAGAAGTGCAGCCACACAAACATCCTCCCAGCTTGCCCTGCAGTGCTCAGGCCATGGTTTTCCAGCATGGCACTGATAAATTAACTTCTTTTAATCTAGATTTGGGCAGGTAAAGATAGAACCAGATTTTTAGTAGTGCTGGATGCTGAGTAGTGCCATAAAGTAAATGAAGCTGATGAGTGTTTTGGAGAGGGGAGAGGGAGGGAAGCCTAGCTATATTTTTAGATCTCTATGGATTTAGGAGTGTCACTTAAACTCCACCTGAAAATTTTGGTCCTGTTGCTTATGTCTTTTGGGAAATGTCATATGCAAAACACTGCAGTGTTTTAAGAAATTGCTTCATTACAGAGACAGAAGAAATGTTGGATGGAGTGGGTTTCTGGATATAATCTAGGAATGGCTCTAATTTCTCAAAAAAGGGGTTTGATGCACCCTTTCACTGGTGGAAAGGACAAAGCTATTCTGTGGAGTTCTGATCCCACCAGGAGGCTTCCCTCAGGATTTTGTGTCAAGCCTGCTGTCAGTTCAGGGTCTTTATTTAATTTGTATTAATGTAAGGCAGTAAAACTGAAGTTGGGGACAGAACTGCCTTTCTACGTGTGAACACTACTGCTCAGAGAGTGCACAGCCATAAAAATAAGCAGCCTTTTAAGAAGACAGCATCAGGTGATCAATTTGTCACGCTGGGTCTGGTGGTTGCTATGGGGATGAAGCTTCAGACAGGCTTTGAAGAGAGCATCATTATGTCTCCTCATTTGCAGGACTCATTGATCAGTTAAAACTGTACAGGGAGCTTTGGTTGCTAAGCAACAGACAACTGGGGAACAAATGTTGTTTACTCTACTTACCAACAGCCGCAGTATTCCTTTGTCCTTGGGCCTGGTTTGAAGGAAGGCTGCCTTTCCACTCTCTGCAGTCACAGGCAACCAAGAGCTGATTATATGAACACTAGATTTCCTTCTAAATGAAGCACAGAGTTTAATTTCTGGTTCCTCAGATACTTCTTGAGCAAATGGCTTGTTCCTCTGATCCTAGCTAATTATCCCTGCTCTGCTCAGTGAAATTCTCCATTTACAGATGATACAGTTTAACACTGAAGCAAATAAAGCCACAGCCCTTTATCTAGCTGCTGTCTTGAACAGACTGCCGAGGAAATAGACTTTGCAGGAAGGACTTCAATGACAAATATTTCTTAAGGAGAACATGCCTTGCTTCAAGCTGTGTTGTGCTTCAGGTTTGCCTATGCCACATACAGGGGAGCATGAAAGACAGATTAGACTCAGACACTGATCTGAGTCCTGCAAAGTGGCCAGGGAGCAATGCATCATCCTTTACATTTGCTACTGAGGTTATGGGCTTTATTTCCTGGGATGCTTTGAGTATCCCAGCTATCCTTATGTTTTTTTACAGGCTGCATCTATATGATGCAATCTTGACTGTGACTTCATATCAGCAGCCTTCATATCAGGTTTATGGGGAAAACTTTATAGCATATTTCCATTTATCATTATTTTCTCCTTCCTAATTCAGTTTTTCAGGTTTTTATAACAGCTCATTTTAAAGTCATCAAACTTGTACATTTTTACCTTGAATACAGCACTACAGGAGAAGCTTTGAATCTATAGATTGCATATAGTGACATATGCTGACACAGACGGGTTGGTCTGCAGTCGCCAAGTGCCTTCAACATTGGCCCGTGGGGCTGGCAGCAAACCAGCTCTTGCAGGTTTGAGTTATAGATGCACACATTGCTCCAAGCCCAGCCTTGCCACCTGCCCCCTGTTTCCAAGCGTGTAATATGGAGCAGGATTCACCTGATTCCAAGTGGTGTCAATGTTCACTGCACACTTCTTTCCCCTTTGTCAGTCCTATATCTGGCTTGGCTGCACAGGGCAGCTTTATGGCACTGGGCAGCGATCCAGCAAAGCACTTTAAGCATGCACTTCACTTTAAGCACTTGGAGGTTCCACTGGGCAGTATTACTGCTTGTTCCCTAATGCTTTGCTGGACTGTGGCTTTGTACACCTCTGTTCAGAATGTGGTGGTACCCTGCGGGCGATGGGGATGTCCTGCCAATGCTGTTTGCATGGTTTAGCAGAACTGATAATATAAATGTTTTAAAACAAATAAATATTTGGTGTTCTTGTGATGATTCCCAGGTGCCTGAGAATACAATTCATGGAAGTGCTGTCGATTTTTATAGAATCCAAAAATCACAGAAGTACTCAGTTCACAGAGGTGTGTTTCTAAGACACTGAGTGGGAACATTCCAATTGTGTACTTCCGCAGGCAAAAAGGAATAGATCTCCAGAGTTCCCACCCCCAGCATTTCACACCTTCTTCAGCCATGTGATTCTCATTTCTCCGACTCCCTTTCACTGCTGCTTTTCTGACAGATTGTCTCCTAACAGCTAGTGACTGTACAGAAGGTAGATCAGGGCAGTTGTACTCTACTGGGAGAAAAGTGGTATTAAAAAAAAATAAAAATCAGGGAATTTTATTGCAATAAGATTGGCTCTAAAACCAGATACGATCCCTTTGAAATCTGAAATCTCTGGAGTCTCATTCCTGAGGCTTACTACAGACATCTTGCTCTTGCATGCACTAAGTTCTACAATACTTAGGAAATTCCCTACTAAAACCTATCAGGAAATGACACCACCTGAAAGGCAGGGAAATCAAAATGAAGGCTAAAAATGGCCCTTTTGTCTAGCACACCTTGGCAAAGAGTGTCCATAACAGTAACTTTTACTCATATAAGAATCAATTTAATTGGCTTAAAGGGTTAACTAACTTAGCTGCCCTGCCAGCCCCTTCTTAAGTAAGGGCTGATGTGTGCAAATGTAAACCATCCCTAAATATGTCTTACTTGTATCTGAACAGCAGATGCTCAAGGGTTGTCTGTTTCCATCTGAACAAATTACTCAGCGCAGGTGCTGGAGGCTTATCTTCAGACCGCAGTTTAAGAAAGCAACCCTATCCAAGAAAACACTTAACAAAGCATGTACTTGAGTCCCCTGGGAGCTGAAAGCTAAATATCCACTTACGTGTCTTCAGTAATGCTTTCCTCAGTCAGGGCCTTAGTCCCAAAGGGTCAAATGTCCCTGCAAGCCTAGGCAGGCACAGCTGCGTGCACATCCTGGCAATTTCTTCAGATGGCGGGAAAATGACAGAGGCTTACAACTCCTGATGAGTGGCTAAATTTTAGCCTCTTAGTAGAACTCTTGGGTCTTTTGGGGTGTATGCTAGGACAGAACTGGTTTCCAGCTATCAAAGAAAACTTCATGGTATCAAGAGTGACTTCTTAAGAACAGTTGAACACACAAACTTGACAGATCATCATTGACTGGTTCTTTATTCAGAGAGTTGAGTACCTAAGAAGGGCTAAGGGGCCTGACAACTAAAATTTCTACTCCTGCTTTCTGGAACAGGGTGTCCTTGGTGATCCCACCATGCCAGAAGTCTCGCTATGCCACATACTTTGATGTAGCAGTGCTGCGCTGCCTGCTGCAGCCGCATTGGTCCGAGGAGGGCACACAGTGGTCATTAATGTACTACCTGCAGAGGCTGAGGCATATGCTACAGGAAAAGCCGGAGAAACCACCTGAGCCAGAGATCACCCCTTTACCAAGACCTCGCAGCAGCTCCATGGTGGCTGCGGCACCCTCTCTGGTGAATACGCACAAAACTCAGGTAAGCAGTTGCCATCAGTAAGAAAATAGCAACTGTTGTGGTGATGCTGAGAAGTTATGGCTGGACAGCTAGTGAAAAGCGCAGCTTTGGTGTTGGTTAAACTGCCCGGAGGTTAGATATATGCAACAAACAGAAAGAGACCCTGAGAATTATGAGGGTTTTGGAGGCAGAAACTGATGCAGAGTCAGAGCTGGTGACTGCTGAAAGCTTGAGGGTTGATTTGTGATAATTAATCTAGGGTGAACTGTGATAACATTGTTTTTTGATGTGACAATATACTAATGTTGTCAGAAGAAATCAGACTGCCTTTGCGTTACAGTGTAATGCTCAGGACTCACTGAGCTTCTTTAGTGTAACCCCTCAAAAGAGAGAAAAGGAATTGCACTTGGTACAGCACTGCACACTCCAGGCAAACACTTGGGTTAAAACCTTGGAGTAGACTTTGCAAATAGTGGCAGTGATCAAAAGCCGTGTTGTTACCTCTTCCCTGCTGTTATTGCGTAACTTTTACCTTTATTTTTTGTCAACAAAACCTCAGGTGACAAACTGTCCTAATATGTGTCAAGACTTGCTCCGTTTTGCTGGAAAAGGAACCTCAGACTCCTGACCTTGGTGCAGTACAGACCTTTGTATTAGAGCTTAAATGTTTTTTCTTCTGGGTATCTCACTGTTGTTCCAGGGATAAAAAGACGATGCTGCTGCAGTTTCAGTTAATCTCCTTGTTGATTTGTGCTACTTTTAGGCTGTGCATTCTTTTCCTGTCGTGTGGGCTTTTAACAGCAAATTCTGATTTACTAAGTTGATGGAACTGCCTTAACAAAATTTAATGCAGATTCTATTTTTGCAATCCAATTTTATGACACACCTCAACTAAAAGGCTCTATCTTCTGTTAATGTTTCTGTCAAATGTCTTTTTTGAGTCAGAACTCTCAGAATTTTAGGTGTTTTTTTCTTAACATCCTTGCTTTCAGTATTGTAGAGCTCTGGCAGTTTTTGACCTGTTGTTTTATGAGAAGGGTAAAATACCTTTTCTCATGTACAGCCCAGATGCTCAAAAGCGAGAAGACAAACAATGTAAATATTAGTACTGTTATTTTTAAATCTCAGGATTTTATAGCCATTCTTACGATTTTTCTGAAGGCTGGTAGGTTACTTGTGGTTTTAAGGGCTCAGCAGCAGCAGTATTGTTTAAACTGTATTATACTTTAGTGTCATTTCTGTAAAGTGTTGCCTGTTTCATCCCTGTAAAAGCTTGACTTATCTCCATAAAGGCCAGGTGATATGAATTACTATTCAGTCCTAATCTACCTCTGCATGGGGATTTTATAGGATTGCTGTGCATGTACAGAAAATCCTCCTTAGTATCATCTCCTGGAGGGAGAATTAGAAGATATTGCTGTTGATGTGGTTCCCTGTTTCCATGCATTATACTGTCCCTTTGCCTTTGCTCATAACAAACCCATTACTTTGCACATTAACAGATTTAGCTACCAGTGCAACAGGGAGTGCAGTGAGAGGTTCTCAGCACAGTGGCAGCATGAATGGGGTTGTCCTCCATAGACACTGTTTGCACTGGCATTGTGCTGGTTCTTCTCTACACAGTGAAGTACTTCTCTCCTTTCACACACTTGGCTATTTCTTGCTTTTCCAGGCTGTTTCTCTTGCAGAAGATTCCTTTACTCAGTTGCTCTTGACTAACATTTTTCTGTTAAATCCATTTGGCAATTCCACTGGGTACTTTCTAGCTGTTAATGTGAGGACTCTGTCCAGGGCATTCTTCCCTCTAGGGCTAGGTTTGATTGCTTTTGGTAACCTCTGTGTCAGTCCTGTGTATTTTTACTGTACTTCATCAAATTGGAATCCTGTTTAAAAAGGTTTCCAATTTGTTACGCAGAACAGCTGCAATGGAGGAGGTGAAACGGTCTTCCATGCAGCAAAAATTTCAGCTCATGCTCCCCTTCTTTTACAACTCATAGGACTGAAATCTTTGCAACGCACAGAGACACGTAGGCTCTGTTTCATCCCAGCCAAGTGTAGGGACTGAAATTAAGTCTCATCACTCAAGGCTCTCTGCTATTCAGAGGAGAGAATGCCACCTCCAGAGGGCTAAAATTTGTCATTTCTTTCTATCAGCACAGAGGGTTGTATGCTGAGATTTCATCAGCTCATCCAACATGGGGATATGGTTAAAGCCAGCTTTTTTGGTCTAGATCTTAAACTCCTGATGCAAAGTCATCATTTCAGGTTGATCAGTAAGTTCTTAAAACTATCAACTGTATTTCAGCAGAGTGGCAGGCAGAAACTGATTAAGACAAAAACAGCTGCCTGCAAATCACATCAGGGACCAGTAGATTTTTCTGGTAAAGCCACATTCTTTCTATTGTTCTGCAGTTTATCAGGGTAACTTCCTGCATCTCCCTAAGCCTCAGCAAAACTCTCACACTTCTTGTTGGTTTCTGTGTGCCTGAAGTCAGATTTCAAATACAAGCTCGGGCTAAAGGAGTTGGGATTGAGAGAACATGAAAAACATCCTTCATGTATTGCCTGGTAAACTGAACAGCAAAGTAGAAAAATATTCAGTGCAGCATGCCAGCGCTAGTTGCGTAGGAAAAGGGGTGCTGGATGGAGTGTGAATAAAATAAATACTAGATTCCTCTAGAAAGTTACTGTAGTCTAAACATATTTCAGACCTGGCAACATGTGATAAAGGACACCTGCATTGCACCTGTATGCAGTGAATTCAGTGTAGGGACAGGTTTAGGAAATGAAACCTTCAGAGGCTTACAAACCTCTACAGTCTTGCACTAACATTGCAGGGGCAAAGAGCCAAAGCTTAAATTACGCATATGCAGCTGTAGTGCTTACTGCAATGCTAATATAAAGCCAAGACTCTCAAGTGTAATATCTTTAGAGCTGAGAGAAGTACTAATGAGCTGGTAGCCATACAGTCATGCAGAAGGCAGGCAATAGAAAACAGAAACAACAAAATCTAGAGTAGCAGCCCCAAAACTATTTTGCTTTCTTATCCACCTTGCGCATATCATAATTACCACACAGCCTACTGCACAGAATAGCCACATTTTTAATCAGTCTTCAACAGGAGTGCTAGCTTGATTCATTAAAATATATCACATACTACAGTGTTGTGGTGGGTTGACCCTGGCT